AGTGCTTGCTCTGCTTTCTGCATTACTTATCTTGTTATATTCACTCAACAGACAATTAGTATTCAGCTCCCCAAGCATTTTGGAACACAGAGGAACAGAAATGGAGAGGGTCAACAGATGAAGGTTTGGGGAAGAGGACTGAAGGCCCATTTACACCAATACAGATGGGTTCTGACCAATTACAGTCTGTCGGACACTGACAGAACAGCAGTTATAAGCTGGCAGAGCACAATCTGTAGAAAATTATTAGAAACACTTGCTTAGTTTCACATGTGTGGTTCTGTCTAGAATGGGAAGGACCAGCTAAACTTGCACCACAGTTAGCTTCTTGATCAAAAGCTGGACAAGCCTGGAAGTGAAACTAACATCCCAAAGAATGTTTTTGATATCAGAGGTAATACAATCACTAAACAAGCCTCATTTGCATGTAAACAATTCCCAGGAGCTAACGTAAACTTAAGGTAAAGGTTTTTCCTAAATTAAGAAAGTAAGTTATGAAAAGAAGGCAGAACCCCAGTGATAATTTCCCAAGAAATTCCATTCTTTCACACACACACAAAAAAATTCTGCAACATCTAAGTCGAAAAGGAAATTGAAAAGGAACAAGACATCTCCAGACACATTTTGGGAGGCCGTTTCCTAAACTGAGGGTTCCTGTCTGAAGGGTAGCATTCAGAAAAAAATCTTCCGTACAAGTCATCTCTTCACCAGATAAGACTAGTCCAAATTTCAATACAGGCAGTACAGACACAGATGAGAATATTGCTACACGCTATCTAAAATTACAGTTCGTTTTTCTCTTCTGTCGCCTTGTTTCCACATCCTTAACCTTTTACTTTGCTGGAATACGCCTGTAATGTTTTCAGCCTGAAGCTTGTCTGGCATTAGGAGCAAGACCAGGTAAAGCCGATAGATTCAGGGCACATATTGGAAGCGCTGAATTCAAATAGACTGATGCATTGCCTTCTGACAAGCTACAAGGGTGGAAACAAGTTCTGGAATCTCCATATGTTAGAATCTAGAAGAGACCCTCATCTGGCGTACACTAACATCACTCAAAAATAAAAAGCAATTCCAACAGGCCGAAGAAAGAGCTGACCACTCTGAGAAACACAGTCAGAGTTATAATGCCTTAGAAGCCTTTCAAATAATAGCTGTTGTTCCATGTTCTTGTGTCTCATCCTCTCACTTGAGCTACTTTATTCTGAACAGCTTCTTAGTACAGCCCTCTCAAAGGCAGGTGGATGTCATTGCTAGCTAAAACAAATGCCAGGCTGCTGCAGGGAAAGGAGAATAAAAATACCACAACCATAATCCAAATCCCCACAGAAAGATGATTGAATTAGAGGATTCTTTTTTTTTTTAAATGATATTTGGAATGGCAGTGCTGAATTTCAGTTCTTGTAACCCAGCATTTGCATCACTAACCCACCCTTCAATCCTTAGGCACTGCAGCTATCAAATCAGTGTGCTTGCCATTCTAAAGCAAGGAATGTTCAGATTTATCGAAGAACTAGTTTTCTACTATAATGTCACACCTGCCACTGGAAGCTTCCATCTGAACAACTTGGTGTTTTATAGGTTTTACCTGAAGGATTTGTTCGGGTGCTAGCACAAGCCTGGTAGCGATCAATCAAGAGCAAACTCCAGAATCAATACGTGTGTAACAACCCTAGCTCCCAAAAGTTCACAGCTAATACACAGTAGAAGGAGTAGAGCTGTACAGCGCTGTAGCCGTACACTGCCCGGAGCAGCCCGATACCTCCATAGTCATGTACCACATACCAGCTCTGAGTTGCTTTAGGCAGATGGGGAGGAACGTTTTCACGGAGGTGCTGCGCTTCATTTTGATCTCTCTCGGCAGACTTCTGGAGCTCCTGAAATTAATGTTAGACTTCATCAGAAATCCAAAACTTAATGTCAAGCAAGTAAAATTAGTTTACTATTAGGGCGATGCTAAAATATTTTTTTTAAACTTGAGGTGTCCTTTGCTCTCTCCCCATCATCTTACCTCTTTACCTCCTAATTTCCCCAAGAGCAACTAGCAAAGCTCAGAAAAACAAAGCTAAGAGTAAGGAAACATACGCTTGTCTGTCCTTGCCCTCGAAGCGTCAGAGAAATTTGAGTGGGCAAGAAGTAAACCTTTAACAATACACCCTAGCAGGTCTGGGCAGGGGAACAGTGATGGCAACGAAGAGATACTACAGGACATCTACATTCCCCAAACACCACTTTCACACACATGAAGGCACTGCAAACACACACTGAAACAACAGATATTCTAATTAAATCATTTTCATGGCTATTGCAAGGATGTAAAAATAGAACTGCTCTTTAGATCACAGTATCTATTATGATAGAGACATGCTTTCAATGATTAAACCTTGAAAAATAATATTATGTTCGCTATGCTGGAGAGCTGCTTAATAAACCATCAGTAAGCCTGTTCCGAGTCCCAGTTCCACTTACAAGCAGCCTCACGCATCCTAACATATCACTTAGGATCTAGAAAAGAACAACTACGCACTTATCAAAGACTCCTTTGAATCTTTCAGTATTTTATGAACAGGAAAAAAGATTACTTTTAGTAAATTTTTCAGTTTTTCTTGCTGTTGAACTTCCGTTTCCATTTTATTCAGGAGATCATGCAAGAGAACCATCTCATGTCCTATTTTACAGAGCATAGATTTGAGGGATGGTTCTTGACCTGTCAAAGAGAGAACGTTAAGCCAAAAAGCCAAAACACCTCCAACACAAAACCAAAAATCCCATTTCCCTCCCCTCCACAAGCAGTGATTATCTACTAACTCTGTGCTCCCCAACCACTATTTCTTCCCAGGAGAAGCAGCAGTATTCACCGGTCGAAGAGTCAACCTCCTCCTCCATACAGGCAACAGAGTTCAAAGCTGCTGCAGGAATAAAGGCCCCTCTCCAGCACGATGCTGGAAAACGCTAAGCTATACCCACTACCACTGCAGGTTGCAGGTGGAGGACACGGCTTTTAAACACAGCCTGGCTTTCACAACTGCTCGGCTGCAGCACCCTGCTCTCCTTCATCATCTCCCTCTGTTTAGGGGAGCTAGAAAGCTACTGCCCTCTTTGGAAACGGTTCTAGTTCCTCTTCAAACAGGAGGTTAGCCTAGATGACCCTCCCAGCCAACATTCCAATGATCCCGTGTAATGTCCATTTGTGCCTAGCAAAGGATAAGAGATGAACCTAAAACTTGCAAATCAACTTCAGCACCTCGGTTTGAATAAGTTTGCTACCCACTGCATGTTTACATCACAGCCAGGCACTCCTAGAACAAGACACCTGTATAAACCTCCACCTGTGCCTTTGCACATTTTTATAATCAGGCTTATCATACTCCCCAAGATATTTTTTTCTTGTCCCATCTGGAGCTCTCCCCATCAAGCATATAGAATATAGGGTGCATTAACCACCAGTCTCCCAAGTCCCTCAGAGGAGCATACTTGCACTTAGCTCACGTTCTCTGCTTGGCACCTGGTTCCCTGATAATGCTCCCGTTTTGCCATCCTCGCTCACTTTTTTTGTTGTTGTTATTCTCTCTGTTTTACTTGATTTCCACTTCATGTTACATTCCTTGTCTAATTAGAGCATTCCCATTTCCTGCAAGGAGGTGCAAACCAAAACCCTCTCTCAATTTCTTTTACCTATGTTTCTTAATTGAAGAGTCTTTTTAATAGTTGAAATCTTTGTGTTGATGTGAAAGCATAAATCTTCCAGGTCTGAAGACGCCATATTCCTCTATTATCATACTGAGGGGAAATAAAAAAAGAACGCAGTAATTTAAGAAAGACCTAAGTTGCAAACACTAAGCACACAAGCAGAATTTTAAAAAGGACCCTGGTGCATCAACGAAGCAAAGGGGACTCAAATGAATCAGTAAGTGTAGTAACTACTTCTTATTTTACTAAATTGAAAACAGGAGAGAAAGTACAAAGTGACTGGCATGAGACAAGACAAAGCAATTTCCCTGAACTCTGGAGGCAACCGCAGTGTAATACCAGTACGATTCCTCATGAAACTGGGTAAGTCTTTATTATATTAACATGTTTGCTACTAAAGGAGTTGGAAATTTACTGCAATAAACAAGAAATACCTGGTTTAAATAAAGAACTGCTATAAGGCTCTCTCAGGAAGCTTGGATCAGATGATCAATATTTAAAGAGATGTTTGTTTTTTGTTTTTTTTAAAAGACCAGTAACTAAACAAAACGCGCAACTTGCTTGCTAGCGGTGTACGGAGGCCCAAAAAGTAGCATTATATATCGGTTACTCTTGTGTAAGTATACTTATTAACTCTATTACAGAAAACAACTGATAAAAAAGCGTTGCCGAACTACACCTTCCCCAATCGCAGTGCAACAAGCCTCCGCCGGAGCCTATTGTCTGACAGCCCTTGTGTTTACAGCGCTCACACGGCTCCCTCTGGTGGTTACCTCACACCTGGAAACGAAGCTTTTCTTTTGCTTTTAGTTGTAACATACCGGGGGCTAGCACGCTTGCTAAATTAGTCATTAGAGGCTGGCCGATTTCCACACCTTCCATACCTCAGGAGAAACCGTTACA